GCAAAACAAAGCCCCTCTCTTCTCACAGAATAGCACTTTTTGGTAATACTTGCTTCTGATGCTAGATATTTCTTCAAAGCTATGGGAAAACAAGCACTCAGTGAGTATGGACCCCATTGTCAACAGAACTATGTTCTTCAAGGACATGGAATAAAAATTAAAAACAAAAAAACTAGTGCATACTACAGGAGGAAGTGACATTGTCCAGTGGTCCCATCCTGCCCCTAGCACAGTTATTATTCCATCCTCCTCTTCATCTATGATAGCTCATCTCTCCTCAAGAAGTGTAGTTGATTGTTTAAATCCCTCCTTTCTTTTCTTTTTTTGTTTTGAGGCAAATGTCTTACTCAATAACCCAGACTTTCCTAGAACTCACTCTGTAACCCAAGCTAACTTCCAACTCATGGAAATCCTCCTGCCTCAGCCTCCCAGCTGCTGGAATTGCAGGTAGGGAGTATAATTTTAAGTGTGGCAATTCATACCACACTTGTAGGAGGTCCTTTCACCATGAGAGCAAACAACCAACCCTGAAAATTAGTCACAAATGTCTTGGGACAATAGAGAAGCAAGTGGTTTCCAAGCTGTCCTCTTCCTTCTCTAGGAGCTCTGTGGACCTGTTCCCCAGCCAGGTGCAATCTCCTTGTATACCCTGCATTTCCCTCTTCTCATTACAAAGCTGTCTTCCCCCAGCAGTTTCGACAGCCAAGTGTAGGGGCTGATTTTTGCTTTGAGCTCAAACAGCTTCTAATACAAACCAAATCTCAGGTTAATCTTGGTATTATTGTTTTATCCCAAACTGCAGTAATCCTGCATGATTGACAGACTCTCCAGTCATTGCCTCCTCCAAGCTTGAGTGCACAGGACCTGACCCAGGCCCTCTCCTAGCCACACTGGTAGCAGCAGTATGACTACAGCCAGGTTCTCACTGGGAGGACTTGAAACATGAGCCCTGATCCAAAGGCATCAAATCCCACACCATTGTGTTTCTGAACAGTGGTTGGAAATGAAGCAAGGAACTTGAAGATTTGCACTCAAGCCCTTGTAGTTATAGGTAGAGATTTTCCTGCAAAGCCCTTGGGCCTGGTTGTAGCCATGTCAAAGAACATTTGATGTTAGCATGCCCTGATTTAGAACTTCTCAGAAAAAGAGAGGAAGTAGCAGTTGCCCCTGGGATAGTAGATCTCCTACCAGGATATCAGGACACTCCCGCTGGCCTCAGCTCTTCTGCCGTCTGCTCCATGGGGCAAAGGGCATCCTAGTAGGGGTGGAGGGGATCGCAGACCTGATGTGCTAGTGTTGAGCTTCACAGAGGAGACTGCATTTTCATTTGCATAGGGAATTGACATCCAGGTTAGAGAATCTTGAATTTCATCTTCTGAGAAGATCACAGAAAGTAGTGCAAGGTCAGACTGGCATGAGATCAATTGTAATCTGCCAGCAAGCCATTCAGACCTCTTAAGAGTTCTCCTTTATGTTTTCCCCTTTAGAGAGAGAGGAATGTACATTTAAGGAATGTCTCATCAAATCAGAATGTCTTCCTAAAATTATTTTTTTAATTGGTTGCTACTATAATGTGCCCTATGGCCTCCTGGTATTTAACCCTCTGTGCAACTTTGATTAATGAACAAATTTTGTCAACTCTAGTGGTCTTGCTAAGTGTATTTTAGTGGACTTAAAAAAAAATTACAGAGTATTATGAAAACCTCAGATCTTTCCACCTAATTGATTGGCTGGTGCTGATGCCATCTCTCTGAGTGTAATGCTCCTTAAGTGCGCAGGCCTAACTATTTTTCTTATTTTTATATAACGGTTCCATTTTATAATGACATTAAGCCATTCAGAGCAATATGTTTCTGGACAGTTATTGCACGAGAAGCAAGTGTCATCTGGCTTTTAGTCTTGTGCCTAACAACACCAACTGAGGCGTAAAATGATCCCCAGAAAATGTGCACGGCTTTACCTCATTATTAAAGATAAATCTGGGAGTCTGGTTCTGTTTCAGAAAAGATTTGGTGAGTTATAACATTTGATTTATGGGTGCAATTAAAATATAAATGATAAGTTCTGGCTCTTCAATCAGCCATCTGGATAGTTTGATATTTTGACATGTCTCTGTTGTAGCCAGAGTCTTTTGGGGGACAATTTAGTGCCCCTGATTTCCTGAGACAGCACTGGAATCCCCATGCTACCACCCCACCTGTTGAAGTGTCTTTAGTTCCTCAGTTCGGACTTAGAAAGAATAAAATTTCCCTTTAAGTTTCCTATTACCTCAGAGGCAGATCTTGGTGCTCAGTCCTTCTGTTTGGTTTTTAGGGTATGAAGATAGTTCAGCTGCCCATGGTCAGATAACACTGTTGGTCAATAGAAAGGGACCCTTTAGTGTGCAATACAAGCAATATTGATGGGCACTTTTCCTGCCAGCCATTAGGGTATCTGTGGCAGCTGTGTCCACCTAACGTGGTTGACTCTTCTCCAGGTACTTGGACCATAAATTGTGAAAATTGGTAAACAATGTTCAGGGTGTAGTTCTCATGGCATAGATACAAATTTCAGGCATGGCAAGTCCTTCACTTACTCTTTCTGATTTAGGTGTGTGATTGACAACTGATAAACAGCTCATTGAGAACATGTGTTTTTTTTTTTTTGTTTGTTTTGTTTGTTTGTTTTTTAAAGGAAAGTTTAAGACAAAGTCAGTATTTTTTTTTTTTTTTGTTTGTTTTGTTTGTTTGTTTTTTAAAGGAAAGTTTAAGACAAAGTCAGTAATAGCAAAGAGGCAGGGTCGGTTAGCCTTCACTACACTTTATTATTAATGACAGTTGAATATGGGAATACCTGAGCACACTGCCCTCAAAATACATGTTTCCTGTTTGCTTGTAAATTACACGGAGGAAAGAAACAACAGAAATTTTGCACATACACTAGCAAGAGAGACCAGCAACTACAGACCAGCAAGCACACATCAGCAGGCAAAAAGCAGCAAGCGCAGACCAGAACAACAAGCATGCTTGGCAAGCACAGGTAGCAAGTGCAGATCAACAGCCATTCTGTTCTCCTTAAAGGCTGGGCTGAAATCAGCAGGGCCTGAAAATACCCAGCTTGCCTGTGGCTCACAGATGAACCTCTAGTCAGATGCTCTGCTGCTGCCTAGAGCTGAGGCTCTATGTTTATGTCAGAAGTTCCCTAGGCAAGGTTTCTTGGGTGCAGTTTGGTTTCTCGGCGTGAACTCTTAGCTGGGTCTTTTGTTATCCGCATGTCATAGCCTCCCATTTGCTTTTGTTTATCCTCTTAAAAAAACAGTTTTCATCAAATAGCTGTATGTCAGGCAGGAACTTGTGTTGCCAAAAATAATAGACATGGAGTCCACCTCCAGGTTCTGTTTAGTCCAAGATACGATCCTGAAGGATCCCTTCTTCAAGCCAGAGCCAGTACTAGGTCAAGGTCACCCTATTTATTCTATACATATCTATCTGCTTTGCTCCAATGGCATTTATCAGGATCCTCACCATTTTGCTTTGCCAGTAAGTCCAAGGGAGGGACTGTGTGACTTGCACTGGCCATCTGGAGCTTCTGTCGGCTCCGTGTCCTCTAACAAGTGACACAGCTCTTCAGAAAGTACTACCCATTGCCAGCAGGCAGTGCACACCAGCGGGTGCTCAAGGAGGTTCTCTTAAAAGGACTTTAATGTCCTAGGTTCTCCATGACATAGTAAAAGGTATATGATGGGATCCAGACTAAAAATCCACCTGATAGCAGCTGTCCTGGAGGATGACTGCCCTGTGCAGCATCCATGGCTGCGTGCGGGGTGAGGCTGGCAGAGCCTGGCCGTATTTCTGTCTTCTCTCCTGTTCCATAGGATGCATGCTAATGAGCTCACCACTACTTGTAAAGGCCAAGGGGCTGTTGTTTAGGTGATGTGATTGTGCATGGGAAAGTGAAACTATGGTAATTGTTTTGACCTTTCAGCCAGCTGATGTCCTGCCCTCTCACACTTATTACTCTTGGGTCCATTTTCAAAAATATACGTTTACAGAGGCACAGAATTAAATGTGAAGCATAGGAAAATATCTGGTTCCACTCAGGTTCTATTTATAAATGTCTTTGTCCATCTATCCATGTTGATTCTAACTACTTCTGCTTCCCTCCCTGGTCCCTGAACCCTCATCATTCATTTCTGGTACCCACGTGCCGTCTCACCGGCAATCTCAGCTTTATGCCACTGTTGGAAAGAAAAGTAACATATGTCTCTTTGCTGAATGCACGGTTGTATTAGAAAGCTGCACTCAGCTTTAATCACGGAGTCCTTTGGAATCAGAACTTTGCCCCACTCTCCATTCTATAGGGCTATCTGCTATTGTGTTGTCTCTGTGACCTTCAAAGTTGTCATCCCTGAAACCCTTGCTTATTCCATTGCGGGTAATGGTTCCTCAGATAGTGGGCTCTGGGTGAATCTCAGTCTCCTTGCTCTTCTGTTTATGTCAGGATGGTTTCATTTGGGGCCACCCGTCTCTCCCAGGTCTTTTCCTCGTAAAGCTGCTTGAGGAAACAATTTGATAGCAAGAGCACAGACGAGACAACTTATTAATATGCAGTGTCAAAACACATTGTCACATGGTATTATGTGATATACGATAAAATGTATCAATTCTGAGCACCACAAATATCTGCAACTTCACCTCAGCATGAAGGCGAATGAGTTTCCCTTAGCTTGACTGAGTTTAGAGATAAACTTCAGTGTAACAAAATGTATTTCACAGGAATTGTTTGATGTGGCACAGTTGGCTTATGAATCTCTTATCTATTCAAGGTTCACTCCTTAGAGTTATTAGTCAATTTAATTTGAACAAATGCCAGGATTACTAACTAATTAGAAGGATGTTGCTGAAGGCACATGGATGGGGAGCGAGTAAGCACTGGCCGTGTGGGGTTTGTGGCAGTATGCAGCTCTGATCTGCTGATACTATCGTTTGCTAAACATCACACTTTATGTCATTGTCACACAGATAAGCCGCAAGTGCATATCCAGATGACTTACCCTCTACAAGGCCTAACCCGGGAAGGGGATGCGCTTGAGTTAACATGTGAAGCCATCGGGAAGCCCCAGTAAGTTCTGAAGGCCAAGGTTGGCAGAGGGTCGTGAGCAGTAAATGTCACAACATGAAGATGTGTATTCACAACTCATTGGCCCGTCACCTGTCTCCTGCTGTAAAAAGGATGGATGATTTTTCCGGAAACGACGAATATTCAATGAGAGGGGAATAAATACCTATGGTTCTTAATGGTCAGGATCGGGAGGAAAGTGCCAGCTAAAGCTGAAATTCTACTGAATTCTGTTTATTGTTGTCAACAGGCTGCTCACAGCTATTTTCTCTTACATTAAATTTCAACATACTGGGCTGGAAAGATGGCTCAGCAGTTAAGAGCCCTCACTGCTAGTGTAGAAATCAAAATTTGGTCCCCAGCATCCATATCAGGTGGCTTACAACAGGGATATCCCTCCAGCTCCAGGGGATCCAGCCCGCTTCTAGCCTCCACAGGCTCCCACCCAAAGACACACATGGATATACAGAAATAAAAATCATTCAAAATATAAGTAAACCCTCAATGCAATAGAATGTCTGCTAATAAGGGTGTTCTTACGACAGCTGGTAGATGGTTTTCTAAACTCTGGGGTACAGTGCTTAGGACCAGATGTAGGGGGAAAAAGTGCTTCCAAGTGCTGTACTAGACCGTGAAGCAGCTTTGTTGGCGGGGACTGCCCTCAAGAAGAATGTTACTGTCGCTGCCCAGGAGGAGAGAACAGCCGACAGACCCTTGTGTTGCTGAGAAGTGTGACAGAAATGCTGTTTATCTCTGCACAATAATCCAGATGAATCAGAAGAGCGGTGTGGATCGCCACTACCGTGGCAAACAAGCCTTGAGGCTGCTCTACTGCAAATACCTCACAGTTTACTTAGAGAGAAGGGAAAAAGGGAGCTTTTTATCTTTCTAGTAAAGCAAAATGTTTTTTAACTCTTTTAAAGGAAAATGAAACAAACAACCATCCCAGTCCACTGAATCATAAAGTGGAAGGACAGGTCAGGTTGGGCTTACGGGCACTAAAAGGCAAAGCAGTAGCTAATGGGAGAAACAGCAGTGAGCTCCCTCTACTGTCCCTGTGGCATGTTGTCGGTTTCCTCACAGTCTGGATAAACATCATCTGCTCCATTCTCATATAAAGACCGTGCATCCTAGCCCAGCTTCCCTCCGGATCCGTGGAGAGAGCGCTCCCTGTGATAGTTAGAGGGGAGCCTGGCCATGGCTAATCCTTCTCCCTCTCCTCCATCCTCTAGGCATGGGCTAGTTAGCCTTCCCTGCCTGAGAGGCAGAGCTAGAACGGTAACCTTTAGAGGAAGGTGGATCTGCTTCTGTTTTGCTTCTTTTCGGTGCTGCTGATTTTTTTGATCCCAGCTTTGACAGAGAAGGCTTTTTTCTCTTTTAAGTCCTTCAAAAAGATGTAGATCTTTCCTTTTATAAAGTGATTTATGCCCTAATTAGCAGTCTCCCTTGCCTCCCAAACAACCCCAGCGGACTAAGGGAAAACACTTCTCTTGGTTGGGCCCCTGTTTACAGCACCTATATTCAGCCAATCAGTCACATTTATACTGCTTGGATTACTAACCTGTATTTTTTTTTCTTCTGAAGAAGGTACTGTGTTCGATCGCATGTGCCACAGGGACAGTAAATTACATGTTTCCTCCAGGACATTTTTGCCAGGGAGAGTATTTGTTTGTTACTCTCAAATTGGAAAGGGTATGTGGCTGCATTACTCCGTAGCAATCCCCTCCTTGCATATTACCTATTTATTTTCTCAAGAAATTGCATACAATAAAAATGGTAATTTAACTTGCCATTATATGTTGTGAATATTCTCAGTGCTTACCCCCACTGATTGTTTCAGCTGTCAAGCAGCAGGACGTGAGGTCTGACTGCCAGGCAGCCCCATTTGCTACTGCCTACAGGAGGACATATGCAGCACTAACTTTTAAATAATTTACCGCATTGTGATGACAAACCCATGTGTAATTAAAGAAAAATTGCACCTTCATATCCCATTTGAACACTGGGATGCTACTTGACAGGCCTAACTTGAGCATCCGTTTGTCATTTACGCCTGGGTTTCTCTACCCATGTCATTGCTCCTAGAGGAAGTGCTAGGGACTGAAAGACAATTGCTTATGTGTTCAAACCGGTGTCAGCTCTTCCTTACAAACAAAAGCTGGGGTATGACCAGGGGGTTAGTGCTTGCCTAACACTCACCAGGCCCTGGGATATGGCTCCAGCATCACACACACCACACAAAAGAACGTGTCTTCAGATACACTCTTAGATCTGCACTTGGTTTCCTAGGAGCACGAGAGAGGCACCTTGAAGACACAGGTTTCAAGTCCAGTGAGTGAAAGACTTGATGTAAGTGCTCTCTCCTCTCCAGAGCATCCTGTCAAATTTGCTCTTCCGAAATGGCTGTCTTAAGATTCATGTGCTATTTCAAGTCACTAAAACTTATTTCTGATAAGCAAGTTCCCTTGTTGGACCTAAAGAGTCCACTTTGAGATGTGTCCTTCCATCATTAATCCAGAACCACATGCACTCACAGGGAGGGTCCAGCCATTTCTGGACCTAGAAGACAGAAGACCAGTTACTGATCAGGGGCAGATAGACAAGGTGAACAGGGCCATCCAGGTGGCCTCTCAGATGAGGAGAGTGAGGCTAAATGGAGAGGAAGTTATTGCATCTTTTGAGAATCAAAGGTAGTTTTTTTTCAAAAACAGATCAAAACAAAATTCTGTGTAAACCAGGACTGATGGTACAGACATGCAATCCCAGCTGCTCTAGAAGCAGAGTCAGGAGACTCACTGCCATTTCAAGGGCAGCCTGGTCTCCACACCAAGTTCCAGCCCAGCTAGGGCAACCTCGAGAGCAAACGGTAATTAAAGAAGGCTGAGGATATAGCTGTGGGGTAGAACCAGCGTGTTCAGTGCCCACCGGAGAAAGGAATGAAGGGAGATGGGGAGGGCTGTTCAGGTGCAAGCGTCTATTTAAAACTCACAAGAGGTTTGTGAGCAAGCAAACATTTGGTATGTTAGTAACCATTAGGTTATTGCATGCACCACTAGCCAAGACCTTGCTTTTTCCTTCCTCGCTAATTAACGAGCTGATTAACAATGGGTGAGCTCTGTCCTGGCCGAATCGGTGTGAAACCACACAGCAGGGTATGTGAGGTGGCCATGTTGGCTTATTTGCTGATTTACTGAAGATGAACTGGGAATCATAAGACTCCCACTTAGCAAGTCTCGAAGGTTTCTAGACACCTGATTATGTGTTTTAGAGTCATATCCCAAGCATATGTTTGGCAGTTGCACGATCTTCATTCTGTGACCCTCACACTCTCCGGTGGGTCCAGTTAATTGAGTCACCCTGCATGTGGTTAGTTTGCTGCAATGATGAGAAACTGGATGCAGATACCTGAGGGGGAATGATTCCCGTGACTTGTCTTTCTCGCCTTCCCTCTGCAGGCCCGTGATGGTAACTTGGGTGAGAGTCGATGACGAAATGCCTCAACACGCCGTACTGTCCGGGCCAAACCTGTTCATCAATAACCTAAACAAAACAGACAATGGTACTTACCGTTGTGAGGCTTCTAACACAGTGGGGAAAGCTCATTCGGACTACATGCTGTATGTATACGGTACGTGAGAAGACGAAACACTCCCCTACTCTCCCTCTGCATGTAGCTGCTGCCTGGGCTTCACCCTCAAAGCCACTGATCACGTTGAAAAAAAAAAAAAAACCAGTTGGTGTCCTACAGGAACTTAAAGAAGCCTGGCCTGAGGTGGACCCCAGTGGTCCCCACCTGGCTCAACAGTGACTGTTGTTCTCCCCCTCAGACTGTAGGGGTTTCCCACAAGATCACAGTCTCTGATCGTGCTGAGTACGAAGGCTGTCTTCAGGCACAGGTCATGGATCCTATGTTAGAAGTAATGTCTGAAATATTCAACCTTACCAATTAGTGGCGTTCAGCTCAAAAAATTTATTCCCAGTGGGTTTTTTTTTTCCTATGATGCCTGGGCTAGCCTTTCTCCTGCTTTGATGGAAAAATATATCTTATTTTCCACATGAAGCTATTAAATCCAAAAGACTTTGCAGGCCAGTAAACACTCAAACTAAATACAAAGTCTTTGATAGTTGCACAGACCACCTATATCTTCTATTTTAGACACAGATGCCAACTTTTAAAAATATGTTTTCTTAATCAACATTTTTCTACAAGGTTATTAAAGCATATTACTATGAATTTCACTTTAAAATCAACAGATATGCATTGAACACCTAAGGCAGCCGGCATTTCCAATTTCTGTCTTGCTGCTGATTTTACATATTGTGACTATCCTCTATTTAGTTGAGAAGTACACTCTTTATATTCTTGTGCTATCAAATGTGATCTCTTCTGTCCAGTTGAAGTCTCTTCATTTTATATTAAGAAAAAGTCGTGCACTGGCCCAACACATAATGAATTACAAATATTTGAATATGGGGGCCACATTCCTATCTTCATGATAGCTTTGTAAGCAATCCAAGTTAAGTTATAAGTGTGCAAGTATAGGCATAGACACATAAATTATACATATGGAATAGCATTTTAACTGTACTGTCTTAGAACCTGGGCACCCTCCTTATGAAAAAAAAAAGGAGAGGTATTTTTGAACAGAGAAGCATCTTTTCTACCATACCTATATGAATATGAAATTATAGTCCTTAGCCTATACCTGAGGGGTTTTCCCCCATTAACACAGTGGTTCTCAACCTTGATAATGCTGCAACCCTGTGGTGACCCTAACCATAAAATTATTTAGTTACTACTTTTATAATTGTAAGTTTTTACCGTTATGAATTGTAATGTAAATATCTGATATACAACCCCAAAGGGGTTGAGACACACAGATTGAGAACTGCTCCCTTAGAATTAAAAGATCCTGTCAAATGCTTATATTTGCAAGCTTGTAGAGTATGCTATCTTTGCATGCTGCTCAGTCTCACTAGTGCTCATTAGAACTGTTCTCAGTAGTTAAGGAAATCCATGAAAGAGAATGGTTCTGCTGTGTAGGTGAGAAAGGGCACAGGGCACCTGGTTTCAGCTGGCAAGGTGCAGAACAGCTCTGCTGCACCCTTTGGCAGTAACGGAAGATGCTTTCCTCTCTGCGCTCTTGCAGACACCCCTTCCACCATAAGGTCTAAGCCTGATGGAAGTGCCCCTAACATTTGTGCCCAGGTTTATAGACATCAGTCAAGTTCTCCTTACAGATTTCACATTACAAAAAGCATTGATCACTTCCTGCCAGTCTGTGACGCATTTCTCTGATTCATACAACTAAAAAAATGGTTCAATTTACAGTGCCTACTCTTCCTATTTCTCAAGATGAGAAGAAACATTTTGATGCCTTGTTTGGCAAACATATTTGCATAATTTGGAAAATGAGCTTATAACCAGAATTTGTTGAGTGTTCCCTTCATGCTGTTTCCAGCATTGACAATTTTAGATGATCTCATCCAATTTCTACACCCTGATCTGTGCTTATTTTTCACCCCATTCAACATATGATACCATGAAGCTTAGAAAGATCATATAACATGGCCTAGTTCACAAGGTTCCCAGATCACCCTAGGGCCACCATACTGTCAACCCAAAACTTACTGCAAAGTTGGTCTTTGCAATTCTTCTTATTATCATGGCTTTTCAAGAGAGATTAAGTCCCTCCAAAATAAGATTGGCGTTTTTAAATTAGCCCCCTGGACCACAATGCATTATTTGAAAACCAAGTAGTATAGGAACTCATCTGTATGCAAACATACCTGTATAAAGACATATCCATGATCCATCCAAGCCACAGGCTACAAGGGACTCTCTGTGTCTTGCTCCCTGCTAGTAGTGCCATTGGAATGGCAGACCAGCATGTTAAACCCAAGTGTTGCTGGTCTAGTAACAAAACATTCTAACAGTTTGGGCAGGGATGGGCAGATTGTCTTTTCAAAGCAATATATTATAGTACTTTTGCAATTTTTTAAGTACTCTGTGAATTAAAAGTTGCTACACTTCTAAAATATTTAGTTCTCTGGAAGTAACTTCTCTACTTGAAGCATCTGGCTGGTTAGAGCCTGAGTCCCAGTAGGGTTTGTTCTTTTAGCATCCGTGTCTCAGGCACAGCTCATTAGCTTCAGCTCTTTCTGTTCCTCCCTATGTTTGTTGTGATGCTGCGCACTGACTTCTGGGCCTCTGGCATACTGGGTAAGCACTCTCCCATGAGCTACATCCCAGCCCTCTGATTTCTGAAAGAGTGGCCTTGTGCTACCCTTCTTACCGAAAATGACCTCAGCAAGGACGTTTCACCTGATAATGGAATCTGATTCATTCAAGGTTTCCTGAACCAGATGTGAAGGACCAGATTTGCCCCGTAGTGATGGAGATCCCTGGACATGTACCATTTTTACATATTGAGAGGTCCTAGTGACCTCCCTGACACCTATCCCCTTGTTCATCTTGTCTGCCTTTTGGTTCATAATCATATCTTCAGATCACATTCATGCTCATTCTTATCGTGTTGCACACATCATATGCTTTGTGCTATTGCATTTAGAAGCGGTTTTGAAAATAACATTAGAGTGCAGCAGAGCAAGTCTTCCGAGGAGCAATATTGCTGCTCAGTGACAATACTATAATTGAAGCAAACAGAAAAGCACATTATTTGTCCCTTGGATGGACAGGAGGTACACTCTGTACAGTTCACTTGTAGCGGATGGAGGCAGTGTCTCCCGTGCTGGCTAAAGTCTCAGGGCACTCAGCTCATCTGTCTCAAGTTGGCACCTGTCATTGATGTAAATGTGTTCAAACAAGTTGCCCAATCACAAAGACAACTTTCTCACCTGTGGCTTCCATAAAACACACTAAAGGACAAGACTGAAATGATGCTCAGTCGTTTCTTATCCTGTTCTTTTTAAAAGGTAATTTAAATTTTAAATTTCATCATTTCTGCTTCTTAGGATGAGACTTTGCCTGGAGTCTTTTTTTTTTTTTTTTTTTTTGACTCATTGAAGACTGCATTAAACAACAGTTTAATTTGCTTGTTTCCCCGTCTTCAAGGAGAAAAGCCTGTCACAAAGCAGAGCCATTTGCTTTTGGTTCTTCCTTATCAGGTTCATTGTGTGAGAGGAGCAGTTGGTGAAGAAAATGAAAACCTTTGATTATTGATCAATGATAGACATCATTTCATGCAGACCTTGCAGCCAAGCACCAAAAGAGTCATTCCGTCAACTTCCAGGAAGTTGTGCCAAACCCAGTAAAGGTGCAATATATAATTAAAGTTTTGATGTATTAATTAGACAATCCGAGGGCTCACTTGAAGATAAAAGGACCCCAGATGTGTCAGGGAGAAAAAGCTGACGTGCTTTAGATAAAATTTAGAATCAAAAGCCTTCAAATCGTCCTCTGCTCTATTACAGCAGAGTGATTTCTTAGTTCAAAGTCTCGCTGACAATTTAACACATTCAGTTTGATCATCTGGGCCTAGACTTTTTTTTCTTTTTTGCCCTTTTCTTATCCCCAAATAATTTTTGAGATGACAGAAATACAGTGTATCAGGTACCAGACAGAGGCTTCCTCTTGGGCTCCTAGATTTAAGGGTCAAACCTCATTTATATTTAGCGCTCTTGTTTACAAGGTGGAAGATGTTCTTTCATTTTTATCATTGTGCTCCACTTAGGTCAAGCTTTTAACATGAGCAAAGGCAGCTTATTAATATTTATAAGGTGTAAAAATTTATTGACTTTTAAAAAATAACATCTCAGTAAAATCTCACTTGCCTGGAACTTGGTACTCTGTTCGTGGTGACATTCTATCTTCTTTGTACTTATTATGGATACAGAGGTGGTTTTCCTTCCTGCTGGGCTGTATTGATGGAGAATAATGAAGTTAGCATTTGCAGAGAGCATGTGTGCAGTGCCACGTCCATCCTTGGCTGATCCAAGCCCTTTAAATGCAGCGGCTCCTTCTCCTCTTTCCTCCCATCTGTGAAGTAGAAAGGGACAGCCATTGTGCTTTCTTGGCACTGAGGTGACTTAGCCTCGCCTTTAAGATCTGGCCGGGTTAAGGGTTTTGAGCATTTAGATATTTTTTTCTCCGTTTTCCAGTTCTCATTTCATTTTTATTCACGTCATGCATAAGAAAGCTGTTCTTCTTTTCTTAGCTCTTCCAACTGAGGCTTTGAGGTGTAGTTTCAGACCGGCGTCTCTGAGGGCAAGGAACTTGATGGTTTAAAGAAGCGAGCCATCCAACCAACATCTCAGTGTCTCCATGCCTTTGTTTGTCGTTACTGGTCATTGTTGTGTTCAGCATTGTGGGTTTGATTTTCTTTTTTTTTTTATCCAGATCCCCCCACAACTATCCCTCCTCCCACAACAACCACCACCACCACCACCACCACCACCATCCTTACCATCATCACAGGTATGGTACCTTCATCACCATTGGAAATGTCCTCAATGTATATTGTCTTTCTGGTATAAACAAAGAGAAGCATAGCTGTTCCCTGTAAGTCCTCTGAGCTTAACCATTCCTTTACTTTGGAACTCCAGAGACACTCAATACTATACTCTTGAATTGAATCTTACGGATCTAGAAGGACCTTTAACATCTGATCAGATGACTCACACCTTAGCATGAGGCAATTCTTTTTGAAGCCTCACCACTCAAAGCAAAAAACTAGAAAAAAATGGCAGCCAGGCTACTAAATCCTTCAGTAGCTTCTGCTTGGCCCCAGCTGATGAACTGGTAAGTACTGTGGCCTGGATCATGTCCTGGTCTAAATTTGGTCTTAATCCACATGAAGAAAGTACATGTACTAAAATTTAGCCTGCGTCCTCGGGCCACACTATGGGATGCACTGTCATCCGCCCTCCTCTAATGGGTGCCTGCTGGCAGTAGGGCTGCCTGGGCCTCTTGTGGCCCGGGAGATTGCAGGGAACAGAGGGAGCCAATCTTTTCCAAGCTGAACACTCATGTGCACCTCCTGTTTTTTACATGGCCTCCCTCCTCATCCTGGTACCCCGTGGCTCTCAAATAGTTTGGTGTTGCTTGACTGCAAGCCTTGGCCTTTCTTCTGGTCTAACAAGAGAGGACAGCTCATAGCTGTATCATACCAACTCAAATGTGCAGGTCTTCTTAGACCAGGCCTACCCCAACCACTACTTCCAAGTGTCCGCTCTAATGGAGGAGAGAATCTCTTAAAAAGTGACTTTGCCACTTAGGTCTGTTACCGGGCAAGTGTCCCATGTACCTTTGAGCCATGAGTCCAGCCATTTCATCCCTGGACTCCTTGATACACACTGAATATCTATCTCACTTGATGCTCTTCATGTTCAGCTCATTAGGAACCTTCTAGGATCACATTGATTTTTCTGGAGATGTTTTCTTTTCCATTTGCTCAAGAGTCAATGAGACGGCAGAATGCTAAGTGTCCAGTGAAAGAAGGCCTCATCAGTAGATATTACAATGGACCGTCTAATCCAAATTTTCTTCACTTTGCAGCTATTGCAGTGAGACAAAGATCTCTGCCATAACCTACCACTGAAGGGCTTCCTAAATACGGGCTACAAGCACATCTATGCCTATACTAAATGTTATACCTTCTGAAAAATCCATCAATTGGTTTTGTGTCTCACTTTAAACCTGGCTCCATCTAGAAAGTTTGCTTCCTAGTTCTTGTCTCTGTGTTTCTGCTTGAGCTGTCAGTTGCCCCTGCTTCTTAGTGCATTCAGTTTTGTGTGTAATAGACCAATCCCTGGCATCTTCTGTAGTGTGATTACCACATCAAAGATGTTCCTCTCCTCTGCTTGGATGTCCACAGCAGCCATACTGCTGGTGCATCATCCTAAGAATTCAGTTCCTTGTCTCTTATCTATTTTGTAAAATGGACTGGGTGTGTACTTTTGATTGTGTTTGGCTTGGCTGGCGTTGTTGGGATGGAACCCAGGGCCTCTGGCATACTAGGCAAACATGTACAGCTTAAATATATCCTCAGTCCTTTAGGCATGTGCTTTTCTTACCAGGTTACGTAGTTTCCTGTGAAAGGCCCTTGGGATGCTGGAACAAATAAACAAACGGTGTAGGTATCACTAGCAGTGTGTTTGTCTTTGGCAAAGTATGACCCAGCCTTTATACCTCCCATGGTAGAAGATTCTGTTTAGGTATCTGTAAGGGTTTACATCTGAGGTCAGTAAAGTTGTCACTCATTCTGTGTATAAACCCCCTTATTTTTCTTGAATGTGAAACAACACTTTTTCATGTGTGTCTGGTCTCATCACTGACTTAGGTTTTAGTTTTTGATTTTTTTTTTTAAATAGGAGGTTAGCATTCCCTGACTCTTCCCCATCACTACAATCAATCTCCCAAGTCACCCGAGTTGCTCTAATTCACAGCTCTTAATCTTTTGCTCCCCAGGACCTCCTTCTCCTCTGAGGTCCTGCAATATCTACAGCTCATCGGGATCACAGTTCTGCTGGCCCAGACTTGATCTAAAAGGAAACTCTTAGAGTAAACAACACCATATTTCTGTCCACATCAGAGATGACTTTAATCAGAATGTGTCTACTCCTGTCTCTGCCGCTGGCCTCTCCATTCAGAATAACTCAGATGATCTCGCAGGTGCACTTCTGTCTGTGGGTGTTAGCGCTCGAATGCTTTCTACACCCCAAATGCACCTGTGGTAATGAATGCCCAGATCTTCAGTGTCACACCCAGGAGTCATTAAACTAACATTGTTACTAAAACAGCCTTACGGAATCCATCACCTTAATGGAAGTGATCTTTTAGGGCTACTGTGACTTAACAAGTTACCTTCTACATATTATCTTGCCCAGAAAGCAACCTGTAGAACTTAACATTTGTCCTCTTCTCCAAAACAGATTAAAGGTTATGGACTTGGTTCTGTGTCCCATTTTAAAGGTTCAGGCTAACCTCTAGATTTAGATTAGTTCCTAAAGAATCTTCCAGCCGGGCTCCTGACAAATGGATAGCTAAATTAATTTCCACTCCTCCTCTCTCTTGTACTGTTTGGTACATTTACAGTCACCATTAGCCTTAAAAGCTTCAACAGCTGAATCCAGCGACAGTAACGCAAAGCTGGGGCTCTAAAGGCAAAAGAAGCAGCCACAGTCAGCTATTTCTTTCCTCCTAAGTCAAGCGCAATAACTGAAACCCATTCCCCAGGTCAGAGTTTCATTACCAGGAAAATGTACAAATGCAATAGAAAAAAAATATTTTTAAGCTCAAAAGGTCCCTCAATTCTCCAAAAGAAGACTTGCATAGATATCCCCGATCTTCCCCAGTCAGGATAATGGAATTGTTCCTCTTGTTAGGAAGGCAGGCAGGCATTCTGTTCCGAGTCATCTGACTCTCTCAACACATGCTACAGCTCCATTCTGAACCCTTAAAGAGGAGGACTCCTATGGCCTCCAGCTCTTCTTTGCCCCCCTCTCCTACTCTTAGATTTCCTAGTTTCCTAGGAGAGCAGTGGCCTTTGCATACTGTCCTCACCAATTGAAGCAGATCTGGTGACATGTCAGCCACACCTGAAGGGTTGCCCTGCCTAAGGATAATTTTCTGCAGGTGTTAAGAACTGGAAAGAACACTCAGGCTGGGCATGGTGTGCACACTTTTAATCCCAGTACTTGGGAGGCAGAGGCAGCTAGATCTCTGAGTTGGAAGCCATCCTGATCTACAGAGTAAGGCCTTGTCTCAAAAAACAAAAAGAAGAAGAAGGAAGAATATTCGTTATCCATCTGCCATATCAACAGAGTTGTAGCCTTACCATTGACATTATTCTATGGCCTCTCCACATAAGAAACAATTTGAGGATAGAACTGGGTGAGAAGCCTTGTAGAGCTTCGTTGGCATTTGCCCTAAAGTTTAAAAGTATCGCTCTCATCTTTCCTGCTCATTGACGTTAGAATCATTTGGTTCTGCTCAGCTCTTGGCTTTGGGAAACTCCCACCCTTAGTGTTTTGTTTTTTGTCCCATCAAGTTGTCCTTGGGACTTCTTCGTTTGTGAGAGTATATGACATGACATGGGAGAGCAAACCAGATGGACTGTTTGACCTTTCTTCTTAAGAGCCCCATGTTTTGGGGCTAGTAGCAGTCCTTGCCTCTGTGCTTGGGGATAGCTGTAGCTTCTTCCTCTAGATTGGGTCAGGCTGTCTTTCTGAAACTTGCTTGGGAAAGTGGTCTGTTTCTCTCTTTAATTAACCTGGATCTTGTAATGTTCCTACCTGGTGGAGTCCTGACTTGAGTGCTTGATGGAGAGTGCCAGGAAAAGTTCTCAGCATTCAATAGTACACACTCCTAACAGTTTAGATACAAAATTCAGGCCAGGGGGAGCTCAACCTGTGGGTTGCAATGTACATGCAACTGCCATAAATTAAAAAAAAAATTAAAACAGCCTTAGAATAAGAATGAATAGCTATAGGGCCAGATTGTGAGACGCATTTAAATATGCTTTTATAAGAATGAAGTAGGTCATTTCTAAATGAGTTTTTCTCTCTCTCTTTTTTTAAAGCATGTATTCAATTAAATATTTGGTGTTTCTTGGAAAGGAAAATAGCAAGGTTTCTCTTATTGGTGTCAACGCACTCAAAATCCAATATACCTGGGAGGAAGTTGCTCCTAGCCTCAGACCCATGTTATTATTTGGGCTTTCACAGCTTGATAGCATAGGCTTTTTCCAATGTTAATGTGGATCGGGTCATATAAAGAAGGCCGACACAGGCTTTGTCCTTCAATGGCATTTAGAGAGTATGCCAGTAAGGGAACTTACACCGAGCTTGCATGCTGTGTCTTAGATGTAAAGGAGAGGGCACGTATGCTTGGTGCCAAGTCTATAGTGTGGCATTCTAAGTTGTAATGGAGCTTTGTTCCACATAGAGGTCTCAGTTTCCCAAGTCTCAGCCTAGTGATTTCGACCGTGTACTACTGGTAATGGCACAGTGCAAGGGCTATAAGCTGATCTGCCTTTCGGTTGCATTCCACAAAGATTGAGCACCCACAGTGTGTGCAGAAAAGGAATCCTTAAACCCTTTTCTGTGCAGTTGAGAGATCCCTGCAACCTGAGTGTTAAGTTTCAGGGCAACAGGTGCCATGGGAGAGCATCACAGAAGTGTTCGTTGCTCGGTGCAATCAAGGAACAGCCAGAATGCAGATATGAAAGAGTAGCATTTGGAAATGAAGCATGAAGAACCCATGTACTTCCAGCATCTCTCTTCAAGGTGTGTCTATTGATGCTGCCTAGGGAAAGCCCCCTTTTTTCTAAGAAACACACATCCTTCATCCTAGGACATTTACTGAACTGTCTTCTTCCTAGGTTTGGCATCTACACCATTAATACATGAGTCTTCCTTTATGTACTGAGCACTTACAGAGTAACTGAGGACAGGGTGCCTGAGGACAGGAATATT